TTAGGTCTCTAAACCTGAAAGTTACAGAGATTACTGACCCATTTATGTAACTGCCCTGGGAGGGCTGATCCTTCAAAGTATGTAGGAGTGTTGGGCTCAGCCTGGTTGCTCACAGCTTGCATAGTCCCTCACCATCAGYATTTTGGGGCAGAAAACCTGCCCTATAACATGTAAATACTTTCCACTTTAACTGTGGATCCCTCAGTAATATAGCTACACGCATCAACCACATATTAAAGTAATAACTATTGGYATGCTGCCTACTGTGTTTTAGGCTCAAGGAGGTCAGCAAACAATTTTTCAGCTGTGAGCAGTCTAACAGTTGGGTCTGCAGGCCCCTTTTGAAGTAGTTTAACTTTTTCTGAAGAGACTGAAGAGTTGAACTAAAGACTTTGATTAATGGTGCGATTCAGCAGAGCGAAGTTTATCCTGTATGCATCACCAGGATGACATATTGCAGTTCTTCCTAAATTTGTAATCTCTATGACTGGGCTACTTGTTGCCAGAAGCTAGCCTATGAGGAGTAGCTTTGCATTTCACCATAATAGGCTGATTGTTATGCACTTGCTTTTAAGATGCACAGTAAAGCCTTAAAAACAAGTGAATTAGATGTGTTTTGTCTGGAAGGCTGCCCACAGTATTTATAAAGTGAGAGAACCTGGGTTTTTCTCAAATATTTGTAGTGTAGCAGGTTCTTGCAGTGAAATCTTACTTGGAGATGCTGAATTTGACTTGTATAGTAGCTTGAATGGATTTAGTATCGCTATGCTTGAGTTCTCTTTGCTTCTGCACTCCTKATTGTGAGAGTTGCTGAATTGTTTTAAATAACTCTCATCTTAGTCTCCTATCTGAAATATATGAATACATTTACAGACTTCACAGTTCCATAATTGGCAAGATGCATTCAGATCCTCAGCTCCAAGGAAATAAATAAGCACTAAAGATTTTTTTATGATGTGTTCTGTTCTTTTTTTTCTATTCTAATTCTAGTGCACTGAATAGCATTAGAATTTCTTTTTAAAAAAATAAAAAAGCTTAAATCCTAAATCTTTTAGGTTTAGAATTGCAAGAATAGATTTTTATAACTTGGGGCTTGAGGATTTGTATAAAGGCTGAAGGCAGGAAAGGGCTAGAGGGTAAGGACACATAACCATTATCTGGGTATGGGCAGATACTCCAGCTTGTGTTTGAGATTAATGTATGTGTAATTAACTCAGAGCTAATCAGGTGAGCTGCCAGAACTTTGCATAGGACTAAACTTTCACTCTAGCATTCTGAGAAATGYATGTATTTTCTTGCACTGTTCTTCTAAAACCAAAACCAGAGCTTCAAGTCTGTGGTTGGTGGCTTCTTACTGCAGTTTCTGAAAGTAAGAAAAGGGGCTAGAAGTAAAGGCCAAAAGTCAATTTCAGACTGACCCARGCAATTGAATTGTCTCTGAAAGTGAACTGTTGCTAGGTGTGTTCAAAAGCAGTATGTTTGGTTTCATGTGCCCCAGCTAAGTTGGTCTGTTGCCCAAGTATTTGAAGTTCAGAAATTCATATTGGCTAAACAGGCATAAACCAAATTTTGTTTCAAATRTGTGGGATTTTTTTATATTTAATAATAGAGGATTTATGTATGTGCCTACTCTTAAGAGACAGGGTTTGTGGAACAAAACATCTTAGGTTGGGGGAGTATTATCTGTAGTATGAAGGATATTTCAATTATCTCCTGCTTGCTGAGCTTGAGGCCCTTTAGCTTCCCAGCCTGGAAAAGACCAGATGTTTTCAAACYGTTGGAACTGGCAATTCCAGGCTTATTTCCCCCACTGAACATGTGCAGCAGCACAAGAACAAAAAGTTAACTCTGAGCTTTCCAACCAGGAGCAGTGTCAATAGTGTCTTGCCTACTTAACCTACACATACAAAGCAGSAACAATTTTCTCAAATGCACATGCTGTCTGCAGCAGCTGGAGGTTTAAGCAGAGTTTATCATAAAATCCTTAAGGTTGGAAGGGACCTTGATGCACAATAAAATGGTGTGAGTTGGTGGCTTTGTGCCCAGTACTCCTACCTGGAACACCAGGTTTTCTGGGATTTCCCTTCCTATTAAGATGCCCAAATATGAACTGAGCAACTGCGTATTTTATTCTTTGGACTTACAGTAACTTTGTAGAGGTGTTTTTTCTTTTTTTTTTGTCTCCATTAAGCACTTTCGCATTATATGATATCCCCAGATAGCTTCCCCATGAAGCTATCAAGAAGGACTTCTGGGGGCTCCGCCAGTTCATTACAACTAAATGAATTACAYGGCTGAGCACAGAACAACACATACTAATGTCATCCTGAAAGCATCTCATGCTGTTGCATGTGTGCATGTGGCAGAAGCCTGTCCATAGACCTGCCCTATGGTCCCTTCCTAATCCAACAACACTTGTTTTTCCCCAGTTCCTGGGTGAGGAGAGGCCAAAGGGTTAGGAGCATCAATAGAGTTCCTCCATAATATCTTAAACACCAGCTCTTCCACTTTCTTGCTGCCTTAGGGAAACTGAGTTGCACATCTGTGAGCCCGTTTGGAAGGGGGTGGTGGTGCTGAATTGGGCTCTCCTGGGTGGTTGCACTGGTCTAGTTTTCCTTTAGAAAGGTGGCTTTTTTGCTAGTATTAATCTTGCAATCCAAATTTGTAGTGCTCAAAGGTCAGTATTCAAATTTTGAAGAGAATGTTTTGTGAAGAGATTATTATTATAATTGTGTACAAGAATCTCTTTGTTTTCTGCCCATCTAAACTCCTGTCAGTGTTCATAATCTCTTGTTAAATTGAGTTGTTAGGGCTTTTAAAACTGAATATAGGAGGAATTCCTTGTCTACCTATGCAGAGCTGAATAACCACACTTGATTAAACAGTTGGTCTGAATAACAACAGGGTGGAGGAGGGTTGATTTAATCAAAAGATCTTACTCATTTTTTTACAATGAACTTCTCCCTTTAAAAAAAATAAATTGAAGAAATGTTAAGCCCAGGGCACATAGTTTCATTAMCTCCCTACCTTCCTGACCAAATTATTTGCAGACTTCAATGTATACAGACTAGCTCACTGAAAACCTGTGTCTAACACCATGAAAGGAGGTGTTAGTGCTCTCCTCCTGGGACTTCTCTGAGCTTCCCTTCTGGTATACAGAATTCTGGATAGCTGAAAACTGTTCTTCTAGCATATGTAAGTATTATAAGTATGGTTATGTATGGGTCTGGTTAAGACAAGTTGAAACGAGTCAATTTAAAGCAGTTAGTTGTCTGGCTTGTAAGGTTTGATCCTGGAGCACCTTGTTTGTGCGAGGGGTCCTACTCGTGCTCCAAGGTGCCAGCAGATAATCTGTGGTTACACAGGAGCTCAGCACAGCTACCTCTGAATCATGGTGCGCTTTTCTCTTTGAAAACTCAGTGAGATAATCTTGCTGATTAAATATTTCCCTTGTTCCTGTTTCAAAATTTTCCTGCCTCTTAGGCTTCTTGGCCAACTCCAGGACTTCCTTAGCATTGCCCAGTAGAAATCTTGATATCCACCGTTTCCATTTGAGCTTTAGACTTTTATAAGCAGAAGAAACAGCATAACTTCTTGTAGAAATAACCATTTCCTTTCTTGGTGTCTGTGCAATGTGATCTAAGGTCACAGCCTGCAGTCTATGCACTGCTGCTTTTTCTTTTCTTTTTTTTTCTTTCTTTGACTCTTTCTCCTCCTAGTGAGCAGCAGCTGACGTGTGGCTACCAACATGGAAAGGTTGATATAAACATTAACTCTGGCAGGAGATGTGCTAGGTAGGGGCAGTAGCGTGAACCTTTGCTCAAGCGCTGTGGTGCATGACGCCGCTTCCTCTGATTTTGAGCATAACCAGTGATGTGTGGAGTAACCGCCTGCCAGGGTCCCCACAGAGGGGGCAAAAGAAACCGTAATTCAAGATGCACTGAAAACGTTGAGGAGCACCAGCATCTATATAAATACCTATGCCAAGAATGCATGAGCCCAGAAGGGCTGAGAAAGACATTTACAGCGGTTTTAAGGTCATGGCTGGGAGATCTCGGTGAACTGGATACAACCTCCTTCAACAACAGAAGGATGATGAGCTGAGAGCTGAGTCAGCTCTGCTGGGCTCTGGWCTGTGATCAGACACTTCAAGCTGGACAACAGCTTGAACAGACCTATAGAGAAGCTTGGAGGCAGAGCTGTACTTCCTTTCAGATTGCACTGGCTTTTCAGTATGTACAAGGCAATATCCCAGCCATTACACAAGAAAATTTGGGGTTAATTCTTTCTCCTTTGTCATATCTCCTTTTAAAACTATTTCTGATTAACTTGGGAAACTGTTCCTGCTATCGGTGAGATGRATGGTACCGCTGAGCAAGTAGCACTCATGTAAAGTGGGCATTGCTTGTACTTGATAACTTGCTGGGTACTTGGGCTGTCTGGTCTTAGTACCAAGAGAGCAAARACAGCCTGGACAAACTGTTAAATAACTCCCATGGGTGAAACTAAGGCATTTTTATCTACAGAGTACAGGAAAGTTGCTGCTCTCAGGTGGTGGTGGAATAGCCAAGGGTTGTCCTTTGTCCCCTGCCCCTCAGGGGTGCCTGGGCTGCACCCAGTGATACAGTCACACACAAATTTCCCAAAGTTATGCTGATATAAAAAGGTTTTTTAAAGGAAGCTGTGTACATGCATGCGGATGGAGAGGAGTGCAARGAAAGAATAAACTTCTGCAAGCTTCAATATATAGAGTGTACATTTTTGTTTTACTGAGATTTCTGTAGCTTGTATAAAGCCTAGAAAAGAAACATGGATCACTGTAATCTGTTTGGGATGCATACATAGCCTATTAGATCCACTTTGAAGGTTTTGGTTRTGCTGCCGTATTATTGTGTATGTTAAATACTTGTTAGTTGCATATATTTTAATCCATTAATTTAACAAACATTAGTTATTTGTATGAAAAATTACTTACTTTTTGCCACTTCTTTCCCCCTCAGGAAATCTTCACTGAATCCTCTGGAGGCTTGACTTTATCTCCTTTCCCGTTGCTCTCMGTGTTGCTTGTCTTGCCTTCATGAGCACCTTATGTCATGGTAACAGTCCCTGTGGGGAAGGCCAGTTGGACTCTGCTCCTTCCAGGGCCATCGGAGCTATCAGAAGGGCTTCCTGCCAGCTGCAAGTCACTCCTTCAGCCCTAGAGGTGAGTAAATGCTTCCTGTAGAGCTGCTAGCTCCAGGGAGAGGGACYGGTTGGCTTCAGTGATGATCTGACCAGGTTGGGTTATGAAGCAAAATGCTTCATGAGGGATATAAATGATTCCAATTGGGAGGGGAGGGGAGGAGGGAAGGAAGAATCCTGAGACTAATCTGCAGATCAAAGCTTTAAAGAATCTGTATGTGTTGTTTCATATTTTGTTTGTTTAAACCCCTTCTGGGAGGGAGGCCACGAGTATTAGTGTTGTGCTAGCTCCCAAATAAATGGTGAGTTTTACCKATGCTAAGAAATTTCCGTCTCCATGCCTGCTCCTCATAAGAGGTCAGCTTCCATCAATTTTATTCCCATTTCCTAAATCTGTGTCCCCATTTACCTTTGTTTCTTCAGGCCTACAAATGCATATTCTCCATGTCCCCTTCAGTCTTGCAAGGCAGGTGCAGAGCACCTTATGTCTTTGCTATTTTCTAGGCTGTGGGCTTTGAAAAACTCATTTGGGTGAAACTTTTGAGAAGAGCTGAAAGCATTCAAACTGAAAGGAAGCATTAGAAAATAAAACATCACAAGGCAGGACTGATGGTGATGTTTTGCTGTTATGTAGATATAATCATAAAACTGCCATAACCACAAATTCACCAAATCCCTTTAGTGTGTAGTGTGACTTACTTTCTTAACTTTAAGTAAATGTTTAAGTATTTTGTTGCCGCAGGGATATAATAGATAACTCGAGAACTATGGAAGCCAGAGAAATAACTCTCATCAATATAAAATATCCAAGCCTCTGCTGTATCTGACAAGTTTTTCCTGAAGAAAAGTAGGTTATTACTCTGGTTTTAGAAGTACTGTATGCTTATAGATAAGTGAAGGGCATATGTTTTTTTCTAAAATACATACATTTAGTGCTTTAAAGTTGGTCATGTTTCTTCATACGAACATTTTAATTATGTTTGGCTCACTTAAGCCAAGAGAGTGATCACAATGCAGTCCCTTTCCTTATGCATACCCAGGCATATTGTCAAGAAAGTCAGAGAATGCATTGACTACGCTTTACTTTATTACAAGTTTACAGGACATTAAAACTTGGGAAATGACTCTACAAATGATGTAAGTTCAGTTTCATTATTTGTTATCAAGTGATTGCTAGACGTCATAGTGTTGCTATATTTAGATGCTTCTGTTGTAAATACTTCGCTAATTTTAATAATTCAGCTTGAAAGTGCCTCCACAAGTGACAATAAAATTTAAGAGGCGTTTTTATTTTGAACGTTTTTCAGTGTCATTGACAGTAATATTTTAATCTCGTACCCTTGTATTATATTTATCAATTACTATTTCTGTTTAATCAGAGTAAGAGTGCACTTCTGTATTTTGGTTGCTGTTTTTAATTGTATTTAGCATATAATTCAGACAATACCTTTACAAACTCTTCCATGGTCTCTTTTTTTTCTAAGAATCTTTTATTCATCTTTTGTTCTGTGGAGTGTGGGGTTTTTTGTTTGTTTTGGTGATTTTTTTCTCCTCTGTCTACCAGAACTTTTCCATTAGAAGCTTTCATTCTTGCAACCTTTCATAGTTTGCTGTGTGCTGGGCCAGACCAGAGCACAAATGGACTTTTGCCCCAAGTGAATGATGTGCCCCCTTTCAAGTGTGTTAGTGGGTTTTGTAGATGAAAATATTACCTTTGTGGAGGCTTATCTACAACTTATGTCAACATGAACTAACTCATAAGTAGCAAAGAAATTCAGGAATACATTTTGAAATGGAAAAATCTTGAAGCTAATGTTCGTATCTATGCAGTCTCTTATCTTAATTTAGTATCCTATGCTAAACTATGTAGAAAAGAATTGGTTGACTTCCAGTAGTATTTGTACACTTCCAACACTTAGCTTTCTATGAAAATCTTTCCTTCTGATTTTGGTTCTCTTTCTAAACAATCTTGCTTAAATCAGGATCTATGTTAAGGGTATAGATATATCCTTATATATGTATCCTATATATATATATGTGTGTGTGATATATATGTACACACACACAGAAGTGTCCATGTGTGTAAATAAATACATGGTAGCTTTATACATTCCGTGATACCGAAGAATTAACTTGGAATAAAAGCACTTTAAAAAATCATAAGGAAATAAAATTATTAAACAAACTCTGTAAAATGACAAAGGATGTCAGTTCTTTCAAATACCTGTAATTGAATTTTAGATAACTTTGTTCTGCCTCTCGCAGAAACCTGGTCTTAGAAGGCTAGAACTTCTGTGCAGAACAGCTGGAATCAGTGAAGTATTGGGACCACTGCTGATTTGGCTGCATCCTCCAACATGACCAATCCTCAGTAAGTACTGTATGAGTGAAGTTTTAACTTATTTAAAATACAAGGGAACCATTTCTACTTAAGGATGTTACTTTTTGTGTAGCTTAAGAGATTCTATCAGTATTACTAGAAGGAAACTAGGTATTTTGAACGTGAGAGCAACAGGATTTGGTAAATTGTCTGAATTATTATTTAGCATTAGCATGAATCAACTTGCTTTGACTTGCAAAGTGTAAGTTCCACAGGGTGGCAAGTATTACTGCACTAAAATTGGAAATCAAGGAAGGACAAGTTCAGCTAAAATTGTGCAGGAGGAGACCAGTTATCCAGGTTGCTTGAATAGCTGGAAAATTTTAATAAGCTGCTTTTAAACAGAATCACCCATGCAATTTTTGCAGTCAAACAACTTCTTTCGTTGGATGCTAGGCACTTTTTAACTATATCCCTAAGGAAAAAGAATATATTCATGTCTATTCTTGAAAACCTCTGAAGAAATCCCAGGCATTTCAGAAGTTAACAAGCTTCTGTGGTTGAAAGCTGGAGAAGTTTATTCTTGCATCCTACTATGAATCAAATGCAGCAAGTGGTGTTCCCTGGGGATTGCAAAGGATCAATCCCTGTTAGGACTTGATGTGCAAGCTCTGGCCTGTGATAAAATTATCCTTGACATCCACCAGATAATATGCTACCTGACAGTACTTTCAGTTTCTAGGTAACTAGTATCTTATTATGATTGAGGGAGCCACATGCATAGTCAGGCTCTGGTTTTTGCATGCATGGATTCCTGTTTAATRTTAGTGTGCCTCTCCAGATTTAAAAGTAAACTGTACAGTTGTGCGTATGCATAGTTAAGATAATCTTTCCAGATGAGTCTGTAATTCTTTTGAACCCTTGTTCTTTTGGAATTGCTTTGAAATAACTTGGTACAGAATGATCCTTTCTGGTCAAATGAAATCAAGTCAACATCCATCAAAACTGTTTGAGTATTGACCCACAGTAGAAGAGGGGTCAGACCCCCCCATTAACCAACAGCTGAATTGTATGAGAAGAATAAGAAGCTTAACTGCTCATTGCCCACTGATCTAAGCCGCAAAGCAGCGAGTTTTTTTAGGTGGAATATTCATGTGCCTTTTTTCTGTGTGTTTTGCATAAATATTTTGCTGCTGGTTTCCTAATTTGTTTCCATGTTTTTATAATACAGGTGCTTATATTTAGTGCTTTTTGAAGCAGCTTTGGCAGAGTCAAATGTTGCTGTCCTTTATCTGTGAGGTATCTTTTGACTTCAGTGGCATCTACTAAATACAAATTTGGATGGATTTGGGCTAGACATCACCTCCCTCAATGACCTTGCAACAGCCTTTTAAGCCTTTGTCTTAGGCTGCTATGAAGTTCTTGTCATATCTTTTGATATGTTTATCTTTGTTTAAATATGTGTGTATGGGAAAGATAGAAGTTTGTTTTTGTTTTATTTTCAGGCCTGCAATAGAAGGTGGTGTTTCGGAAGTTGAGATAATTTCACAACAAGTTGAAGAAGAGACCAAAAGCATTGCTCCTGTACAACTTGTTAATTTTGCTTATCGAGATCTACCCTTAGCTGCACTTGATCTGTCTGTGGCTGGATCCCAGCTTTTGTCAAATTTGGATGAGGAGTACCAAAGAGAAGGGTAAGTATAAAGGACTTCTGGTTTATAGATTTCATCTTAAAGAAATTTCATAGCCTGTAAAAAAAGAAACCTTGAGATTGAGAAGTGCAGCCACTTGTCCTCAAACTCATGTTAAAACTACTATCACAGAACAGAAATTACTTTTCTAAGCTATCTAACTTTCCAAGCTGGTATTGGACTCTTTGTAATTAAGTAATTTCTGGGTGCTGTTTGTCTGGAAGTCTCCTATCAGACATGGGAAAAACTAGACTGATGCTTCTAGTCTGTCAGATAAACAGAATGGGCAGGTGAAGGCACTGCAAAAGATGTTTCAGGAGGGCTTCAGGTGGTCAGGATCAAGAGGTCTCTTGATGCATCTCTTACTCAATGGTTAACGGCCTAGTAGTCTAGCCACCTGCTTCYTAGGCAAGGTATGTGCTTTTCACAGAATGATTTGTACCGAGTAATTTGCTTCTGTGAGACTGTTGTCTTTGAGAATGTATTTGCACATTACTCCTGTTTGTGAAGAGCATCTGTGCCAGGTTTCTAGAATAAAAGTTATTAATCGGGTATCTACTCGAACATTGCCCAGTGTCAGATTATGTAGCACTGTAGTTCTACCGTACAGGAGTAGTCATCCTTCTGCCCTGTTTAGTCTTGATATGGCTGTAGGAAGACTTTAGTGCTTTTTAACGAAAGATTTGGGTCAGTTGGTGAGAATCCAGAGGACTGAGAATGATTAGAGGCTCAGAAAACCTTTCATGGAGGGGTGATTGAAATAACTGTCTCTTTACCCAGAAGAGTGCTTTGAAAGGAACATAACGTAAGAGACATCTTARCGAGGAAGAGAATAATCTGTTGACTATCTCCACAGAGTTTAGGCCAAGAAATAAAGAACTTAATTTTCAAAGCAGAAGAGAATAGTTGGTAGCAGAGTGGTGTGTATGGGCAGGGACTGGAATAGCAATCGCTAGATACTTTTTCAGAAGGTGCGTTTGTCAAAAGAAGTGTGGTTTAATATCCTTTGAGACAGGGAGTAGGTGACTGGTTGTACTTAACCTCTCTGATTCTAAGGTTCTTGTTCCGCTTGGTGTTGCACTGAATTTATATATACTCTATTTTCAGTAAGATCCTTCTAAAAGCACTTCACAGTAAATAATATAGAGCACTCATGATGAAGACATTAAAAGGCTTTATATAAGCCTCCAAGTATTAACAGTTGAATATATTTTCATTTCAACTCAGAAATCAGTGAGGAGACCTACTTGATCTCTGCTCAGCAGGTGTTCTGTATGGTAGTCAGGAAGCACTGTGTGGGGAAGGCTCTTGCCTCCTTTAATTTCATTCCAAATTGGACTTCGTGAGACGTCTCCAGAATGCTGTTACTGCAAACAAGGGGAAGGAAATACATTTCAATTAGGTTATGTAAGTATGGTACAACTGTAACATAAAATAACCTGCATAGCAAAAGAGGTACTTCAGGATTAATTTGAGTATGCAGGTGTAAGCCTCAGGCTATTTTGGTACTGGATGAATACCAATTTAATTCAAATGTGCATTTTCATAGATTTTATGATTTGAAATTCCATTCTTCATAGTGCTCAAGTCCACAGATCTCCCGTTGTGACCATTTGGGCAGCTTTGCAATCTAAGCATGGAAGCAGAATTGTCCTTTGTTTGTCAGCGGAGTTCTCCTTCATTCAGTCCTCTCATCTGGCTTTGTCTATATAATAGGAACAGCACAGTCTTGTACAGACCACCTAGCAGCAAAGGGGGATTCCCTTAAGGAAATTCAGAGCTGTAGTTTGTCTCAGTGTGTGATGGCTGAGTATGTTCAGCTGGGTCCCAGATTTGCAGCTGCAATTGATGTCTTTGAAAATTCAGGAGCTGAGCTGAGCTAAAGAAACTCACTGGTAAAGAGAAATATTTTGCCTCTGCACCTTGTGGTCTGTTTGGGAAGGTGGGTGCATGGTGTTAAAGAAGGGTGTGATTTTTCTCTTGGCCTTGTTCAGATGTGACTTTCTCCTCTGCCCATTAGTAAGGAGGAGATATGGGATCAGTTGGTACAGGACCAGCCAGCTGCATCTCTCTCTGTGCAGAAAGTGATGTGGGAAAGGCAGTGGCAGGAAGTATCCAAGTTCTTGTAGCTTCTGCCAGCATCTTRACTTTGAAGCTCTGTTTCCCTAGCGCAAATATAGAGATCTGCAGATACCAGAAGATGCTAGTAATGCCAGGGAGTGCTGAAAGGTGACTTGGTACACATCTTCCCTTCCTTGTCAGGCTGCCTCTTGCTGCAGTCTTTCGAGGGTTGTCTACTATGTAGTTTTGCCTGAGAATTTCAGACAATGTGCCAGCCTGTATGAAGTGTGTATATTTGATACAGCTGTGATGGTCCAGATATGTAGCTAATCTAGACATGTTGTAGTTTTTGTGATTCCTGAGCTGTGCAGCAGGAAGGTCTAGCAGACCTTTGCTTCTTGGGAAGAAGAAACAGAAGAGCAGTAGGGTCTTGGAAAGTCCTGATTTGTTGTCACAAGCTATCCATGACCCTGCTCTGTTGGATTACTGTAACTTTTTTTTTTTTCAGTCCCTAGTGGCCAAGATGCTATTCCCATTTCCTCCTGTGGGTTGCCAGGCTTGATCACTAGTAAGTCTCCATGCATCAGTCTGTAGAGCAACAAGAGAGACATCAAACAAGAGAACAGCAGAGAGAAGGAGCGTCTGATTTAGGGATTTGACTGTGTTGCCCAGCCCTTTTCCTCTTTAACTTTTCTTTATGCCAAAAGGTGCACAGTGACCTAATCCAAGTGCACACTTCACCTCATTGGGTGAAGGATACCAGGGGAGTTTTCGTTTAATCTGAGAGAACTTTTGTCGGGAAGCATGCTATTAATAAGCAACCAGGCACAGGGGGGTGGTAGCTCAGCCCTGGTTTTGTGCCTATAAAATCTTAGATGGCACCAGAATAGCTACCCTTCTCACTAAGGAAAGATAGATTAACAAATGACAGACCAATTTCCTGACATTCCTGTCGCTTTAAAGACACAAAAATTAAAAATCTTATTTTGTTCCATTTGATAGGGCTTTGCTATTATCAAATGCTCAGGGCAGTCCCTTGATATTATTAAGGGAATGTTGTGGTAAGTCTGAGCTATTTTTGTCAGAATTCAGTTCATAATGCTGATCCCTGTGCTAAGCAACAAAGAACTACAGATTAGATGGCACATAAAGCCAATGCCTGAAATACATCTGCAAGATTGGTTGTAGTGAAAGGGAGGGTAAGAAGGCAAAAAAATAAAGCCCTTTCCCTCTTCTCCCAGAAATCTTCATATAAAACCCAAATCTTGGCTTCTAGTGTAGACTAAAGAAGGATTCTCTTCTTTATATACCTATCAGCCAGGGAAAGTATCAGTGTTGTTATGGTGGAAATTGGTTAGTTTGGATGGAATCTGCAATGAGAACTGTTTATTGTAAATCATGTAGGTGGGCTGGCATCACCACCTTTTCACTGGAAAGGAGTGAGGTACCCTTGGTCTCTGCAAATTGCAGTGGATGAAATGAGAGGTTGCTGTCCCTGACTACTTCTCTAGAAGCAACTGGATGGATGTGCTGGTTGTAATGGAGCAGAGGCTCTTACTGTTCAGAAAAAGGACATTTTCTAATAAATGGAAACAATTTATAGTTAATGTTTTGAGCTTTATGTTATTATAGCAAACCTTATATTAAGGCATGTCTTCCCCCCCACAGAGCAGTGTTGTGGAGGAATAGTAGAATTGTTCTTAGAACCAGTTTGAGTGTGATGTTAGTTAGTCCTGCTGATCTGCCCTGCATTAAACTTGTAAGAAGCCCCCTTAGATACCACTATACGGTGCAGTGCTATGTGCTTAGGTATTGCAGAAGTGATCAAAGCCAGAAGAATGTGGATGAAAAATAAGCTTATTCAAAAAAATATGCCTCATGTTTAGGAGAACATGCAATGCATGTCCTTAACCTATCTCTACTAAGGTGGTACTCTTGCATGTGAAGAAGCAGCAAAGCAGATGTTTTTCTTTGAATTTGTTGGTGAATCTGCATTAAACTCAGTTTGTATGAAAAGAATATATAAACAATTCTTTAAAGAGACTAAATTCTCATAAAGGTAAGGGTTTTTTAATTTTAAAACTAGCCTCAAGTGTCACTTTCTTTTTTTCCAGTCAAGTTTTCTGTTTTACAAAAAAATACTTCCTCTGCCATCAATGACAAATAAAAATGAAGTTGCTTGGAAACTGGCCTCATTCAGAAGGCTGTAATTGTGTAAACTATAAACAAATAGAGATGGGGAAGAAAAATCCCATATTCTCTTTAGATTCCAATTCAGAGGTATCATTCATAATTATAAGATACACCTGATAGACTGGATGTTTTAGTGAAGTAGTATGCAGTTAGTGGTGAGCTTCTAGTGTGATAAGATCTGCCTAATAGGGGTAGGTAGCAAGAGGAGATAGTGTAGCTCTTAATTATTTCTTGTATTTATTTGATATTGCTGCTCTTGAATTTTCCTCTATTAAACATAAACTTGAAGCATGAAGGTGCCTAAGACTGTCCTGTTTTATATCTACAGCTATAGCGGCTGCGAGTTCCACATGGTTAATGTGACTCAGTTAACGTTAGCTGTACGTAGTCACACCGTTGTAACCTAATCGTTTAGGATGATCTGTTCATAGCCTTAGGTTTGCTTGGTTGCAGGCCAGTTAGAAAAATGAATGAAACTGTAGGGATACCTGAAAAGAGAGCTGCAGGAAAGGATAGAGGGAGATAAAGAAGGAAACCGGAACAGGGGTGCAGAGATTCAAAAATTAATGCACAAAATAATCCTTAGAGCTTTTCATTTAAATAGGTTGCAGGCCTTCACTGATGAAAAGTATTCATCCATCCTGGGGAAAAAAGGAATTTCTGTTCCTTCAGTCTGTCTCCTGTAATTGTCAGATGTCATATTTCTGGCTTTCATATTCATCTTTCAGGTTTTTATTTTCATCTCTGAAGTATTTTACTTGTGTTATTGGTAAGATTTAAAGGTCATTTAACCAAATAGACTAGAACTGTCTCTTTTCTGCTTCTATTTTTCTCTTTTCTGCCCTTTTTAGATCTTCATCTGGCAGGTTATTTAAAATAAAGTCCCCTTTCAGGAAAGTTTGACCTCATGCAATTCCTTGAATGTATCAGGTTGATACATGGTGAATAATTAAGTCCAAGCTTCCTGTGCCAAAGGCTTTGGGTGAATGATTGAACTGTGCCCTGTGGTGAGCAAGTTGCTCGTATTTACACATGTGACTTTAAAGTTATTTTTAGCTGCCAGCCAGTCCCAGTCCAGAAGGATGATGCAAACTTTTAACAGCAAAATATAGCGAATGAGCCTGTAGTGCTGTTTGTTCTTGTGCAGTGCTATGTCACTGCTGCTCTCGGTGCTGTGGTCTGAAACGAAGACCTGCAGTGCAGCAAAAAAGGAGCATTCAGCACTACTGGCTGTGGGACCAGCTCTTAAMTAGAGAGCACACAGGCTATATTAGTATGAGGATGTTCCCTGATTTAGAAACTTCTTATTTTCTAGTAGAGACCCTTTATAAAACATTTATCCTTGTGAAGTGCTGTTCTGCAGGATAACTCACTGTTTTATGTAGCCTACTAAATCCTTAGTCTCATCTACCTCATAATGTCCATCTAGTGTGTTTTACAAGTAGCACCAGTAGATGGAGGGAGTGCTACTACAAGTGAAAGAAACTAACCTTCTAGCTTGGTGTTTTTCAGACTCTTTTGGTTTGATTTCCTTCCCTTCCCCCCAACAGAATTTGATATAAACTTTTTTTTCTCTTAGCCCCCTTTTTTTGAGGATAGAGGTGCGATAGAGATAGCCCAAAGCACTGTTTGCAAAACACTCTCCTGGAGAATGGAAATGTGGGTCTAATATTTCGCTCAACACTGGAAGCAGTTGAAGCTGGAAAAGGAAGTTGCAAGAAATGTGGCTTCATGCATAAATTTTAAAAAAATTAAAGTAATTTAAAAAAAAAGTAAAAAAGAAATTATAAAGGTTGGGGGTGAAAAGGGATCAGTGCTGCAAACGGTTATCTTCTAGAGACTCGCGTGCAGTGATGCTAGCAGAAGCCCAGGAAAGGGGTGCAAAGTTGTGCCTTTTCCTCAGGGTTCCTCCTGTGTTCCTCTTGCTGCTGCAGCTTGTCTTCTATGAGATTCTTGTAGTTTTGCTGCAGCCAGATCTTGTATTTTTATTTAGCCTTTCTGTATTTCAGTTGTTTCCTGGCCATGGCCCTTCTACTCCTTCAGATAGTGATTTGGATCTTACCCATCCTTCTGTTTTCTAGTTGTATTCATCTTGTGAGATGCAAGCACTTGCTGCATCTTGCCAAAAAAAAAAAAAAAAGCAAGTGATGTATAGCACAGATTTGGGGATATTTTTTTGCAAGACTAGAAAATAGAAATAGTGACAGATGTTAACAGCTTGAACAAACTGTTTGTAGTGATTCCTTACCAAAGAAATATGTTAAACCTTTCCCAGTTTTGCCTTATGTTCTTTTCCAAGCTGTTTATTAATAAAGCTAGCAGTCATGGTGACAGATTGGCTTTCAGAAAGCCATGTGTGAAAGTACCTTTAAAAAGAGTTATTCCTGGTAAAATTCCATCATTATCAAACAATTCGAGTTCCTGTGGGTTAACCTCACCCAGGCTTTGTGAGGAAGATGCCTTAGAGTAGGGAAAAGTGTCTTATACTTGTGTATGGTTAGCATGTAGTCTCTGGATACATTTGAGCTGTAAAAGTCAACTTTTTCTAGACGATTCATATGGCTGAGCTCCTAGTCTAAACTTTGAGTAGCTTTGCAGTGTTGCACAGGAAGTGGTTAGAATTTAGAAAAGTAAACTTAAGCTTACGCTAATTCCAGTAGGGTTTTGGTTTTTTCAAATACTGCATTTCTCACCTGTTAAATGGATGAAATCTCATACATGAGGAAAAGGAGATACTCTACTAAAGTTATATGCTTAAAGGAGATGAGCAGATTTCTATTTTAATAAAGTGAGTTGTAATTAACTTTAGTTAAGTCCACCCCTCACAAGATGAAATAAGGAAAAAAAGAGGAAGGAGGCAAGAGCAAGAGCACTCAGAAAAGCAACCCATTTTTTAAGACACAATGTGCTGGTCATGTATGATGTCTGTGGAGAGGTGAAGATGCCCCTTAACTGCTCCTTAACAAGGCAGGGAGTAAAGGCACCTCTGTGTAATGAACCGAGATACAAAACTGTAGGGCTTTTTCTGGTGCTTTATTTTCTTTACAGTTTGCAACTCAATTTGTATATTTTATTAGTAAGTGCAATCTTGCAGATGCTTTGCAAGTCACTTCAGAACATTGATTCTCCAATTCTAAGCTGATGCTTTAATTCAGAAGGTCTTTGGAATTGTTGAAATCTTGCTACCGCAAAGAGGAGTACAACTCTGCATTCCTTAGCAGTTTGAGTAGTAATGACTAGATTGAATAAAGATTACCGTGCCTGTATGTAATGTCCACTGAGTATCACGGTGGATTTTTATTCTTACTGGTGCATATTTGGTGTCTTTTAAACTCAACTATAGAGAGCTCGTAAAGGAACGTGTATAGGCCCTCTACTGATCATTTTGGAAACAGAAAAGTGGAGAAGCTGCCCTGCAGTACTTAAATGCTGGCAAAAGAGGCGGTTTGGGAAGGGGGACAGAAATATCAGAAGAGAGTGGAATCAAAAACTAAATTAAACAGGGCCATTCTGCGGTGTTATTAGAAAAATCCGCCTTCCTAACCCGCTTTCCCCCCATCCCCCAAACAAAACAAAACCCCCAAACCAGCTGTAGTGAAGACAGGTTATCCTGTTCTAAGTAAAATCCACTAAAAGATAAAGCTTGCAAAAAGGCGTATTCTAATGCGTTTTTTGCTATTTTTTTWAAAATAGCTTTTATAAAACCATCAGATCTTGTATTTTTGAGTTTGCTTGAGTTGTTTTCTCATGTAATTCTTTTCCAGGCAGTTTCTGAGGGGGGGGGGGGGAAATCAACCTTGAGTGCTTTTGTATTCTAGGTTAGAACCTTAATCCCCTGAGCTAAGGACAAATCCAGTAACAATTGCCAAATCTTCTTAAGTTTAAAGTGTCAGTAGAGAAGGTCTTCCAGGGTCAGGTAATCGGGCAGCGCTCAGTACAAGCATTGAATGGATACTCACAATCTAAAAGCTGCTTGCCTGAACCAAGCCTCTGAACGCTGCTTGTTGTTGCTTCCCCTCACTTTTGAGTGTGGTTATTTCAGGGAATGTTTTGTGGTGTTTTGTTTTTTTTGAAATGTTTGAGTTTAGAGTTTAGAGACTTGGAACTGATACCATTGATTTTTGTGTATTGATATGTCATAGTTCATCAGTGTTTTCAGAGATAGGCCAGTACAGGAACATTACAAAAGATGATGGGACATGATATAGTGTTTCCTGTATATCAGCATGGGCTTTGTGCAGCTCAGCTCCATTCTGTTATTACTGCTACTACAAATATTTTTCAAAAGACAGATTTGAGATTTTGGAGAAGCTATTGAAAAGCTGTATCTGCAGCAGCATCGCACTTCCCAGTTCACTGTCTTCATTCTGGTCCTGGTAGCTGTATGTTGTAGGACTTGCTGCAGCTGGTGTCCCTAGAACATGCGGGTTTGCTTTGGAACCCAAGTACAGGTTTTCCTTGAAGCCTGCATGGTGGTACATTACCAGCTACCAAGGAGGGGTCTGAACCAAGGGTAAGAAATTTTTGCAGAAGTTCGAAGTTGTTGATAGCAAGTTGGGAGTTGCGGCTGCCAGCATGTTTGATTTTATAGACTAAAAGCCTCTAGCAGAATTTGGTAGCTCTTGGCCAGATCTGTGCTGTACTAGAACCAGGATAATACCTAAAACTGTACTGGACAAACTCTTGAAAAATCATCTTTACTTTCTAACTTAAGGCACAGAACTCTGGTGTTGGTATCCACAGATAAATGGTTGCAGTATATTTGTCAAAATATACATGAAAGATGGTGAGACGAGAAGAAAGCAGCAAAGGAAGCATGCATGAGAGCCTAGGACTGTGTTACTCTGTGCTGTGGAAGGCACTTGGGCATTAGTAATTTCCGGAGGGTTGGGAAAACCTCATTAGAGGAGAGCAACTTGAGCAAGATCCACAGGGAGGAATTTCACCTCTGTTCCAGTAGGAATTTAGCATACTTATTGTATCAGTCAGCACAGCTGACTGTAACTAGTTACTGTAACTAGGAATTAACACTATGCTTATTTGGAGACCTGTCCAGCCTTAATAAAAAAAAAAAAATCAATGAAAGTGGGGTTTGCAAAGCCTTTGTCATTATGATAATTATGTTCATAACAGCAGAACTTATCATTTCAAGTCCACCGTTCTTCAGCGCTTTTTCTTTTTCACTACTTCTTCTTTTTCCCTCTTAATTTTATTTCTTTAGATCTAACTGGCTAAAACCGTGCTGTGGGAGACGAGCAGCTGTGTGGCAGGTATTTTTGCTCAGTGCAAGTCTCAACAGTTTCCTGGTAGCCTGTGTAGTATTGGTGGTGATTCTTCTGACTCTGGAGCTCCTAATAGATATAAAGCTTCTCCAGTGTGAGTAGGAGGACTACTTTTTTTTTAATTGTAATGAAATATAGGTTTAACTTGCTGGGTGGTTTTTGAAGAGGGGAGGTTTGGGGGATTTTTTTTTTCCTGTCATGTAAATGATTACTAGCCTAGGAAAGAATTGTGGTTTTTGTGGAACCCTGGTATAGTGAAGTCAGTCCCTGCCCCTTTGCTGGTCATATTCAGTGCAGGACACTTTCAGAGGCAATAAAAGGTGTATATGCAGGCTTCTGCACATATGTCAGTAGTCCCTGAAAAGGTCTGTCCTTCAGGACAGCTGCTTTCTGTATACACAGCAGAAAAAGATGCTTTGTGCATGGTTAACTTCCCTGATACCTGTCACATGCATGTGGATGGATGCAAATGAAGAACTCACTAGCTTGGTGCTGTCTCTATTGTTAATTTGCTTCAACTGAGATTGGTAGGAGTTGAATATTTTTCTATCTTGTAATGCTCTGAAATGATACAAATTTTCATTGTGCTTGGCAAAGGTACTGTAAGCTGTTGAAATAATTTTACTCTGTCTGAATTCACTCTACAGAGGTTCCACAAAGCAAAATTGAGTGCTTCCTAATACTTGCTTCCTAATACTTTTTTCTACTACTTTTTTCCTCCATTTTCTTTTCTACTTTAAATGATACAAGTCTTACATGAACAGAAATACCAGTTCCATTCTTTCCGCTGATAAATGTTGGAGAGCAGCATTTAACACCTCCCAACCATCTCAAATGTGTTCAGGCAATCCCATAGATGCAAGAATATGTAGCTTAAGTGAGTCACGGCCTGCTATCTCCTATGGCAACTTTCAAAGTGAGCAAGTGAATCTCTTATTCTGATGTCCTTTTATTCTCTTGTTTTAGCTACTGATACTAGTGAGTTAATTTCACTGTAAGGATTTAAGCATTATAATGAAATAGGATTACTTTAGAGGTATAGTGTTGGCAGTTACTGTCGTTTTATAAAACCACCTAAGATAAAAATCACTGGTTATGCTGCCTTCTCCACACTGCTGTTGATGCTTGCGTAAGTCTTCTTGCACTTTTCTCTGACACTGCTCTGAGCATGGCTACTCCATTACTCTTGTCTTGTGCTCTTGGACTTGCTTTCTAGAGTCCCTGATAATTTACTATTTTGTACTGAAACTCAGGATTTGGATGAAAAATGTAGGTTTCAAGAATCCTTAATCTCTAATCAGCGGTCCTGGTCAACTGGGAGGTCCCAGATGAGGGAGAACTACAGACCTGTCAGCCTGACCTTGGTCTCAGGGAAAGTTATGGAGCAGATGATCCTGAGGGTGATCACACAATGTGTGCACAACAACCAGGGGGTTGGACCCAACCAATACAGGTTCATGCTGGGTGTTGCACCTCAGTCCCAATAACCCTATGCAATGCTACATGCTTGGGGTAGAGTGAATGGAGAGTGATTTGGCAGAAAAAGGGGGATGTTGGTTGACAACTGACTGAACATGAGCCAGTAGCGTGCACAGGTGGCCAAGAAGGCCAACAGCCTCTTGGTTTATATCAGGAACAGTGTAGCCAGCAGGACCAGGGAAGTGATTGTCCCCTTGTACTCAGTGTTGGTGAGGCTGTGCCTCAAATACTGTATTCAGTTTTGGTGCCCTCACTACAAGAAAGAGTACATGGAGGTGCTGGAGTGTACCCAAAGAACAACAACAAAGCTGGTGAAGGGATGAACATGGACCTTATTAGGAGCAGCTGAGGGAGCTGGGGTTTAGTGCAGAGGAGGCTCCGGAAATCAGTTATTGCTATCTACAGCTACCTGAAAGAAGGTTGTAGTGAGGTGGACATTGGTTTCTTCTCCAGAAGAGCTGCCAATAGGGCAAGAGGAGATGGCCTCAAGTTGTGCCGGGGAGATTCAGATTAGACATCAGGAAGAATTTCTACATGAAAGAGCAGTCAAACACTGGAACAGGCTCCCGGGGGAAGTGGTGCTGCCTCTGGCAGTGTTCAAGAAACTTGCAGGTGAGGCACTTAAGGAGGTGGTTTGGCAGACATGGTGCTGAAGGGCTTACAGTAGGATTTGATTTTGAAGGGTCTTTTCTGACTGTAATGATTGTATGATTCTCTGTTATCCCAAACCATTTTCTTTGTGAGTAACAAGCATCCTGGCTGCACATTCATTTTATTCTTGAAGTGCAGGCAAGCAAAAGGTAAAAACAGAACTTTTAAGCTTTTGGCTATGGTTTGAGGGGGAAGTTGATGCAAGTACAGAATGCTCTTTTGACTAAAAGTGGCAGCTGCATAACTAGGTACTTTGCCTCAACCCAAATCCCAGTGCTGTCTTGGCCATTGCAGAGCAGAATTGAGCACCTCTTGGAGAAGAGGAATCCTCTTTTTTTTTTTTTAGCCTTTCACTACATCTTTGAAGAGAAGTCTATTTGAGGACACAATATATACAGGGTGATGATTAAGCTTTTGTTGAAAAGCTTCTTGCATAGAGGACTATTTAAAATCTTCATTTTTACCAGGAATTTGCTTGCACACTGTCTAGCAGTGCATCAAGCAGTCTTTGCTACACTTAACTCAGCATAGGAAATTATTTTCCTTTCCAAATTTGTGGTTGCTATATCTTTCTCATCCACTAAGGGGCAGTTGGAGTCCTGAATGTCAACTGTCAGCCCTTGGAAAGAACTTAATGTGACTTCTGTTTATTATTCTCTCGTCTACCCTATTAAGGCAGTGTATTGTAAAAGTGAAATATATTAATTTTGCCTGTTATTCCACCTGTTAGAGCTCTGTTACACCACAGAAAACCCCCTCCCGTCAAGTCCTAACTGAGCTGCTGTTGCCAAGAGTTCCAACAACTTCCAACCCCCTATTGAGGGTTTCTGTTGTACCCTGATTTCTCTGCCTTCCTCTTTCATTTTCATCAGTTTTAATCCTCAAGTGTTTGATTCTGTGCATGCCCCTGTTCTGTTCGTGGGGCTTGAAGTGAATTCTGCCGGTCTTGAAGCACATGAAGACAGAGATTGCCATCAACTTCCTGCAGTTATACAGGAATACTTGTAAACCTGTTGCCTGTTGGCCCTAGGAGTAGTAGGCTCACAAATATCCTGAAGCAAAGAGGTTTTCTTTTCCCTTGAACTTGAGAACATCTTACTTTAAGAGCTGCTGGTAGTTCAGATGTTGTATACTCTAAGTTTTCTACTTTGTCAGCAAGGGAGGGAATATTGGTTACAGAATTCCCTTTGAACTTGCTTAGGAATCCTGCAGTGTCCCAGACATTCATCTTGAGCCCTGAAAAACAGTCCATGTCACAGAGTGTCTCATGTGAATTAAATTGAGCCTTGCAACAGATTCATTTGACACAGTTTGCTTTGCTTATAAGCAAAAATCAGTTGAATCAGATGAAAGCCTAATTTTACACTGGTGAGAGTCTGTTCAAGACTTTAATGAAGTCTAAAGTCATTCTTTTAATGAATTCGGATTGATTTATTTTTCCCCCCCAGATTGTTTCAATAAACCACTTCCTAAGAGGATTTTTGTTCTAGGTCACTTGTTCCACTTGGAAGGTGGAACAGCTCCCTCATGGTGCATGAAGAACACCCATATATATAGGGTGTTAGTGTGTAATAGCCAGAAGCTTATAAACTACCATCTCAGTGTGCTCTGTACAAACCTCTTTTTGCAGAGGAGTTTGAAGAGGCAATTTAATTGACTGTCTTTGTGAAGAGCACTGCTTAAAAAGACATGTGGTTTAACTAGTTGCTTTAAACTGACACTTTAATTTTATTTGCTGTGGCTTTCTTGAGTGTTCTCAACGGAGCTTGCATGAGGACAAAGTTGTGTGATGGCCGTATTTCCTCAAATACATTGTACAAAATAGGCACATTTTTGCAAATATGTTTTTCTGACAAGTTAGATATTTGACAGACTCCATTGATTCATGTTTTGAGATTTGATCTTACTAACAATGAAATTGCTGCTTTCTGTTGCTCATCTCAATAGTTTTCCTAGAGTCAGCCTTGACTCTGAGAAATGGGGTCTGGAGGCAATTCATGCCCCATCCAGACTATCTAGGTCTTTTATGTAGATTCCTAGAAATGGATTTTAAAGCCTGGTTTAAGCACTTTTTAAACATCTGATCCAGCCAATTACTCTTCTAAGGTGAATTTTTGAACAATAGGTAAAGTATTAGCAGGAATACTGGAGCCTTCTGCTTGCTTATAGACCTCAGATTCTGAAATATTAGGCATAGCAGATTCAGTAAGATATCCTGCCCTGAAGTAGTGCATGGAGCAGTGACAGGGCATCAGCGACCTGCAAGGTGTGTGCCATTGTTCACCAGCAGCCTCATCTGTAAAAGCTCCCCTGAACCGTGGCTGTGAATGTGTTGGCCTGCGTCAGCACAAGCAGCTGCCAGAGCTGGAGCTCCATGTCTCATTACATCTCATCCCTTTTCTGGTACTTCCACCATAAAGTTTCAGAAAGAAAGCTTCTCCCACAATGTGCATTGTAGCAGTACTAATGATATTGAACATAAGTTGCTTTCAACTACTGTAACGATGCTTCGTTGTATTGTGTTAATTGCAGTTTCAAGTGCTTCACAGTTTGCAGGAATAATTCACTGGATCAGCCTAGTCATCCTGTCTGTTTTCTTTTCAGAGGTATGTATAATCAAAGATCTCACCACATACAGAAATGCAATATATTTCTTGAGCTGTCACTGAATTTGGTGACGGTTTAACATTGTTTTGATTGTGAATAAGTGCAGCACAATGCACCCTGTACTTTAAAAGAAAAAAGAACAGTTGCCATTCTTAATCAGCAAATTAAAGATTCAGTTTATATCGGTGCTCTTTGTCAGTTGTCTAGAATTGTGATGGGAAGCATGGAAGATACTCTAAGTTATAATAAAAATGCTGTACAAAAAAGGATAATCGGAGTCACCACAGACTAGGACAGGGCTAGTTTCATTGCTGTATTCTCACAAAAATCTTGTTGCTATGACTGTGAATAAGAAATTCTTTCAGGAATAAAGAACCCTAGACCTATTCTATGGGAAGATTTGTTATAAGAATAGAATTATCTCATCTCACAATGTACATAGGTTTTTATACCTCAGCTGTGTTTCTAACAGAGAGAAGTTTAAGAGAATGAAACAAATGGTGAATTTCTTTGCAAACACCTGTATGACTGTATGAATTGGAAAAGGCCATAGTCTTGATACCAAAAAAAAATAAATTGAGGTAGTTAGTTTTCAACTTTATTCCAAAAAAGTCATCTATATGAAACATTTAGACTACCTTGGAAATGTCCCAAACTATCTATTTAGGGTTTTTTCCAAGGTCATAATCTATTGTTACAAAAAGTCTGCTATGTATTTTTTTAAACTATCCCCTCTTGTATGTTGGAAGATGGTTTGGAGTCATATATTTAAAAACACATTTTTCTAGTTCCATGAGAAAAAATATCATCTAAAAACAAGTTAGTCTTTAGTAAATTCTTTAGTTTATTATCTAGTAAATTCTAGTTTATTCTTTATTCTAATAAATCTAGGTGAAGGTTTAAAAAAAAATTCAGAAACTAGAAGCTGCAGTATCTACAAATGGTCAGATAAATAATGTGTGTAGAATTCATGCTCACAATATTACACCACTACTTACTTCCATGCTTCCATATCTTTCTTTATATACATATATAGTATTGCCCCCTGCTAGAGCCAGGGATTATAGCTAGTGGTGCCAGACTGCCAGTGGGCACTTTCTGAAGGAAAAGGGAGGAGGTCACGCGAGTGCTTTCCATCCTGGCCTTGTCCGGTTGGAGATACGCTTCATTCTCACTGCTCACATCCCTTGCCAGGGAGCAAGAGTTGTGGGGTACATAGAAACCCCTGGAACCAAATTCTCCAAAGTTAAAAGCTTAGCAGTGTTTTCCCTTTGTTCATCATGCATTGAGATTCTTGAAGTTTGTGTTTGCCAGATGAAGTCAATTCTGTGTTTAAAAAAAAAAAAAAAAAAAATCCCTTGCCCCCACTAAACCTTTTCTTTCTCCAGTGCGGATCAGCACCCTGGAGCTTCCCGAGCCTCTTACAGGATCAGCCTGAAACTGCCCGGACTTTTGCTGCGGCAGCAGGGCTGCATGCGCTCACCTCCCCGCAAAGCCTCATGCCGCGTCTTGCTCCTCTCTCCCTTTCATACTCGTGTTCATACCCTGACAGGTTTGGTAGCTTGCATGTGGCAGTAGCAGCACATCCTCAGGGCCAGCACGGGTATCATACCTGCTACAGGAGATGAATTCTGTCAATTTTGTTGAGACAAGGACCTGCATGAGGGGATGGACTAACTCAGAAATACTCTGCAGGAAACCAGTAATAGAAGTACTTCACATTGTCAAAGCTGATTGCATGCTCATCACCCTCATTTTGTACGTGTTGTGTTTTGTCTTCCCTGCATTGGACATTTAGAAATATTTTTCTCTATGTGCCTGCTCTCCTTTCCATAAGCCTTTTGTCACCTGTTTTTTCTGTTTCTGTCTTTCAAAATACCTTTCTCCTAGCTGATTATGGTTTGAATTTGCAGTGACTGAGAATGAGGCTATGAGAGGCAAAAGAGAGAGTGGATTGGGGATGTTAGTTCATCAGGAAAATCTGGGACAGCTCAGAGCCTATGACTGAGTGAAAGCAACAGAGATGGCTCCCCAAAGCATCTGAATGTGCTTCAGAGCCTACTGGGCAGGAGCAAGACCAAGGGCTACCTTTGCTTCTCACAGGTCATGGTTTGATATTGCCTCATGCCAGCTTGGCTTGAGAGGCATTAGCATGTCTATTTGTGTTGGAACGTGTCCCATCAAAAGAAGAACATAAGGTTACTTCTTCTTTCCATGCAAATGCAAAGCTTTGATGTCCAGAGGTTATAAAATACTGCAAAAACTGCAGACCAGAGAAATCAGGATTTTTTTCTCCCATCTTCATTTTATTTACTCTTTTGGTGCCTTGGGGGAGTTTTTTGCTGCCCGATTTTGAGTCTACTGTCTGTGGAATTGTGTGTTGGTCAGAGTGTATTGCAGGGAGATTTTGCACTCTGTGACTGGTCATGCCCAGATGACTTTCCAGAGATGAGTGGGATTCATTAATTTGCTTGAATATAACGGGAACTACCAAGGGATGATAAGCCTTTCAGTCAGTGTCTTTTTCAGGATTTCTAGTGATTGGAAAGGGCGGTTTCCATAGCAAATACTGTATCCCAAGGTGGGCTGGGCTGTSTATTGTTTTTCTCTCTAAGTTGGTTGCCATTAGTTACAAATGTGGATACATATTTCTTCAGAAAGGCCTTAGCTGAGAACAAATAATACAAAGTTGTAACCAACTCTTGTAAAAATAAAAATCTTAAGTGCAAAATCTTAATTTTCTGGAAGAATACATCTGATTAAAAGCTTAAAAGCTGATGCTGTGAAGTCTCTGCAAGTACTGACAGTCTTTTCCCAACAGAGTTAGAGGCACTGGCCTTTTGCAGGGGTGAAGGGAAGGGGCCAAGCACTCCAGCAACTGCCAGCAGAAGGGCTGCCAACAGAATTGAGTAGCTTTTGCCTGCCCTTACTACCCTTATGTTAGAGCCACAAGCCTCAAAGGAATTATTACACTCTGTTAATCTTATATTCTTCTTCTGTCACTGTCTGTGACTTTCTGACATTAAAATATCCTTATTCAAGTGCAGTGCACATTGACTCTTTTTGCTTTTTCTTTTTTTTCAAGTATTTGAATAGGTCTTGCTAGTGGTGATGATTGTGTGTGTTTGTCTCTTTACACTTGAGGGGGAAAACCCCAGTACCAACAGCAAGGCATGGGTTATACCCTATCAGGAAGGTGAATTCAGCCTTGGTAATAGTTGGCTGAGAAAAGGAAGATGGGGAATATCACAGTGTTTTGGTATGTGGATTGGAGTCTGCTTATATTTTAATAGCCTTATGTTGCCACCAAAAAAAACCCTGATTCTGTAGCTGCTGTTCTGTTCCTCTCAGACTGATGAGAGTGTTTGTTTGCAAGAATTGGGTACTTTAGTAGTAGTTATTTGCATTACTGTGTGTGCTTCACTCAGCCAAGCACTCAGGCATTCTGTTAACTTTCAACATAGAATCCTTAAGAATCATAGAATCCTTAAAGTTGGAAGGGACCTCTAGAGCTCATCTAGTCCAACCCCAGTGCATGTGTTTCCCTGCAAGTAACCAAGACTCATTGAACTGTGTCCTTTTCCCTGGAGCAGGGGCTGAGAAATGAGCCCTTGCATTGGGGCTTTGTTTGCTTAAATATGTCTGAAAATTCATACTAGTTTTTCATTTTAAATGGAAAAAAAATCTAAGATTTTATTCATCCTATATATTCAAATAAAGTGTTCACAGCATTCTCTTCCTGTTGATAGAAGCCTTGGGGAGCCTCCTAAGGAAGTCTGTAGCAGTAGGGTCAGACAACAGAACTAAATTAACGTCCTTCCCCTGCACTTTTTCATAACAACTTCTGAGGAATTTGATAGAGAAATCAGCTCTTTCACCTTTTGTAAAATTTTAGTGATGCCTTGAATAACTAAGCAGAAATATAATTTTCTGTTAATTCTGTAATTCTATCGGCTGAAGTTTCTGAATATTTGCTTTGAATTCAGGTGCATGCTGCTTTTCTCACTGAACATCAATGCACTTTGTTGTCTGTGCGTGTTTTGATTTTTTGAAGCAGCTGATGAGAGGGGATATAGGAACAAAGTTGGGGATTTTCTAAGTTACTGTATTAGAAAATTAAATTTAGGCTTCCTTCTTTCACTGTGTCTCACTGTGTCTCTTAGAGGCTCTTATTGCTGCTTGGTAGCAAGCACTCAGCACCTCCACATAGTGCACCAGAAGGATAGGTAATCATGTCTAGAGGAACTTCTCATGCAAAGCTGTCTCTAACAGCATTTTTCCACCTCCTGGCAGAGTGCTGTGGCTCCTCTAAACCTCTCCTCTCAACCACTCTGCCCCCAAAGCCCTTTCAAACACTACGGAGTTCTCAGTTTAAAACTCACCACCTAATGGTGGTGTCTGTGCAAAGATACATTTGTATAGTTGTGATATCAGAGTATTAGTGGTAGCTAGTGTAAAAGAATGGGCAGGTTTATGGCTATTAGTGTCAACAGGCTTTTACAGGTGGCTATTTCTACATGCAGTGTTAGAGCTGCAGCTGCTGCAGAGCACAGCACAGGGGCAGCCCGTGTGTGATGTGAGGTCCAGAGTCACCCTTGCCCTTTCAGAGCCCCTGTATGAGGAGGGTGCCCTGGAGGCAGAACAGCAGCTCTTTGAAGATGCTGGCATGTGCCTGGATGCCTTGGACAACGAAGGCAGCGTCTCAAGGCAGTCACCCTGCAGGGCAGTGATCAAGCCAAGGTCCTCACAGTGGCCTGAGCCAGAGAGGTTGCGCATCACAGATGGGCTACGTGGTGTTCTTTTCGGGCAAGATTTTGATAAATATTTGGTCTTATGAGATACATTTCTCAGGCAGAAACTTAATCTTCAGAAATTTCGTGCAGCCCTGAGGTAAATGCCCTCTGCAACAGATTCGTTCTGTGGTAGTGGAAGGAGGGAGATACTCTGCCCAAGGCCCCTTTCCACCCCAAATCATCCACCATCTCTCTCTCAGCTCAAA